ACTCTAATATGTTTTCCATCAATGAAACCAATGCAATTAGGGAAGTTCCAAATATTATAATAATCTTCTTCTACTTTCCTGAAATCATGTTCGTTGGGAATTTTCATGTGTAAATGGTTGAAGTACTTCCCATATCACTTTGAGCATTTCGGCTACAATTTGTGAAATTGTTGTAACTCCCATGCGGAACGAAAAAGCCAAATATCTAAACGACTGTCCAGTTGATAAATACCTACAATATGATGGAGACTGTTTAGACTTTGTTTTTTAGTTTTAATGGTGTATTCTGTATATTATATACATATATACAATAGTACGAAATAGATGGAAAAGTATGCGGGGCAAATTTAGGGCTACCTTGGCATCAGGGATGGGCGTTTATGCGTATACATTAATTGTCTACGTCTTGATGAATACAATGCGTATACAATGAATACAATGTATATGTCGCAGCCAACTAGCTTAATTAGCCGTTCAATAAACAGCCTAGCCTCTTTACCAAACCAGTTTTTAATTGTACCATACTTAGTTCCAACTTTATGAACGCCATTTCTTATGTCAACAATTTTAACTTGAATAGTTTTCATGTCCAAAAGGCCCGCGATCCACTTTGGGGATGCTTACCAAAACACTATTACCAATATCTAACTTTGGCATTTTTTTAATGGTAGCATCAATCATCTTTTCGGCTGCACGCTTAAGTCCTTTGTGTGCTTGGTCTCTCTCTAAATTTATATCCTGTTCAACTTCACACATAAAACATACCAATTTGGAAGCAGAACCCTCTTTAACCAACATTATTCCGCATGTTGCATGTATAACATTATTGCAAGACTCACATTTGTGCGCTTCAGTGGCACTGTTATGGCAAACTGCACAGGTGAAGTTTGATTCTAAATTTTCAATATTTTCCGTTACGGTTTTCAAATTGTCATCGTTGTTGTCACCGTTAGGCCGGCCGCACATTGAGCACAGCACAGCCCAGCATAGGAAAACTATCCCTCGACTCTGCATGTGTTGCTCACCGCATATTGAACGGAGTCATTTTGCTTCCATGTGTGCAGTTTTCGGTTGTAAATGATGTTTGCTGTTAATGACCCATATTTAGATTTTGAATCAGAATCGGATTCAGAAATTGACACTCTGATATTATTATACAGTATATCTGAAAAACGTAAAAAGTCTGTATGGATGAATGATTATTTAAAGAAAAGGAATACTTATGTGGAATTTAACCTGCTGAAAGAACTAAATGATGGCCAAATGAAAATGTACTTTCGTTTAAATAAAAATCAGTTTGACGAGCTTCATAATCTTGTGATCAATGATATTACAGGACGTGGGTGTAATCCACAACAGCCTATTGAAAGTGAACTAAAGTTAGCGGTGTGTTTAAGGTAAGAAAGTTCCATAGTATTTACATATAAATGTTTTATTAAGTAAATACACATATTTTATTGTAATATAATTTCTTAAATGGTTAAATATTAGTAAGTATTATCATTATCATAAGTTTCAATATAATTTCGTAAAGACATACTGCCTGAATATTGTGATCGTGGTGGTGCTGATAGCTGATGGGAGGATTGTTGCGATGGGGGATCTGTTGCTCTCTGCAGATGGAAGGATTGCTGTGATATTTCATGCGTTATTGCTGGTAGTTCATGCTCGTATGCTGAGCAACGACTAGTTGAAGGACTGTTTATTTCGACACTACTGGCATTCCGTTGTGCCGCTTCAGATTCCAAGGACACGGATAGATCTTCTTCAACTTGGACTGCTTCAAATAGCTTTCTCTTTATTCTTTACTGTGATGCCTTTGGCATTTACAGGGTATCATGATACATTGAAAGAAAGAACTGATACAAACCGTCTGGATTCTCGTCTGCCTTTCGCTTCCGTTCTTCCTCTCTTTGTCTTCTGCGAATGGCATGCTGTTCTAAAGTTTGCTGCACTAAATTATCCATACGTTTTTTATTTCCATATGATATCTTCGATTTGCTGGGTACAGCAATCTGCGATAAATCTCTTGATGACCGCTGGACATGTTCTGCTCTCTCCTGTCCTGTCTCACCTTCATTTTCTGCGTCTTCTGCAGTTTCCACAGAAGGCGACAGAATGTCGTCATTGTCAGTAAGATTTCCAGCCTCATCTTGTTGGTTACTTTCTATGTTTCCAGTTGTACTCCTATTTGCCATGTATGGAATAAGAAATTCCATTTGTTTTTGATATGTCCACAGCTTTATGTTTTTAGCCTTGTCCCCACTTTTAGACTTTTTTTGTCGCCGCAAAGCATCACGATGACAGTCTCTTAGTTTTCGCCACAACTCTTTTACAATTTGACCTAAAAAACATAGATAGAATTATAAATGATATATAACCGTGATATGTTTTATACCTAATTTTTGTTTTTATTTTGTTAAACTGTCTTTTAGGTACATATTTTTGTAAATTATTTGTAAAACTTTATAGTTGAGGCAATAAAAACTTTAATTGATTGACTGAGTGTGGCAAAGTTGTTAATTTTTGTAGGTATCTGGCAACAGGGGATACATTCAGAAGTATCGGATTTTCTTACAGAATAGGAGAAAGAACAGTTTCTAAAATAGTCACTGAGGTGTGTAAAGCAATATGGAAAAACATGCAGCCATTATATATGCCAAATCCAACAATAGATATGTGGAGAAAAGTCGCAGAAGAATTTGAGAGAATATGGCAATTCTACAACTGTTTGTGGACAATTGACGGAAAACATGTAACGGTAAAAAAACCGCCTAAAAGTGGATCGTCATTTTTCAATTATAAACAGTACTGCTCTATCGTCCTAATGGCTACTGTAGATGCAAATGACAAATTTACCTCAATTGACATAGGTTCAATGGGCCGATTTAGTGATGGAAATGTATTTTCAAACAGCGGTTTAGGGATGAAGCTTAGCAACGGCACGTTAGAAATACCACCACCTAAGTCTCTACCTGGTGAAGAATTCGATATACCATATGTTTTTGTAGGCGATGAAGCGTTTCCCTTGACCAAAAATTTAATGCGACCTTTTCCAAAACGTCAAGTTAATAATAACTGTAGGAATAAGGTGTTTAACTATAGGTAAATATACACAGAGCCAAATTTTTATGGAATTACCATGTTATTTGGGGAAAACGAATTTTAATTTGGAAAAAATCACTGGAAAGTAAAGAGCAGTTTTCTCAAAACAAGTTGTCTTTGTGAGTAAATACATGCACTTTTTATTTGCTTCTAACAAAAAAGATATCAAAATAATATTTCATCTTAATACTGGGTGATTCCATATAAGTTTGGTTGTGTGTATTTCAAGTAGTAGTTTTATTAATATATTCTTAATGACTCTATATTACCAGGTTGTCTCGAGCTCGACAAACAGTGGAATGTGCATTCGGTATACTTTCAGCCAGGTTTCGAGTATATCGGCGGCCTTTTGAATGCAAATTGGATACTGTAGATGACATTGTGAAAGCAACTTGCGTTCTTCATAATTTTCTTCGTAATCATACAATATCCACGGTAAACCAAGAAGAAGATGAGATAGAGATGTTGCGTGAATCGCAGTTGCTTCCAATAGCCCCCAATAGAACACGAGGCGCGAATGAAGCGTTTTTAATTAGAGAAAAATTCACAGACTTCTACAATTCACCAGCCGGTTCTATACCATGGCAACAAAAATTAGTACAACGAGGACATTACTAAGAAAATTATTTTCTGATGTTTTGTTTATTTTTGGTCTTCTTTGTATAGAAAGAATCTAGTATATTAATTGTGAAACTATTTGTTTACCCTAACCTAACACTGTAAACTTGAAATACGAATAAAAGTTTGAGCTGTTACTTACCATTTGAATAGTTTAATTCAACTGCAATTTTGTCCCATATTTCATTTTTTAATTTACTTCTCATATAGTCTTTATCCTCCGTATCATAAAGAACTTTATTCTCGCGTACACATTCTATTAATTGTTCCATTTTAACTGAAATATCTGGTAAATAAATCTTGATTACCTGCCGAGACAGACAGAGTACATAGGAAAACTCTGTTTCGTCCACAGAAGCCGCAGGCTGATAGAGCAAAACAAAAATCCTCTGCCGGTACTATGTCTCGACTGCGCACAATATGCGGCGCTACCTTTACTGCCACGTGTTAGAAAAGTCTCGGCTGCCCTGCGCTAAGCTGTGCTGGGCTGTGCTGCGTTCAATGTGCGACCGGCCTTACTGTGTGTAGCTTCAGCTGATTGTCGCTCTCTTAAAGTTTCCAATTGCTCCTCTGTTTCTATAGTTAAAAGTATAGATGGTGGAATATCAGATCCGTTTAAGCCCGCTTTAGGTTCACTTCCAAATAAAGCTTTATATGGAGATCTTCCAGTTATTCCATGGACTGAACTGTTTTTGAAATATTGCACAAAAAAACAGCCCACAGACCAGTTTGTTGATTTGTTTTCATGCATCCATGCTCGCAGCATATTTTCGATGTCTTGGTTGCTTCTCTCGACACTGCCTTGAGTTTGGGGACGACGTGGATTCCCATGAACAATTTTGCACTCAGGCCACATTGTAACTAATTCTTTTATTACATTTGCAGTAAATTCACTGCCATTGTCCGATTGTAAAATGTAGGGAGCTCCAAATGTCAAAAAAAATCTTCATCAGCTCAAAAGCTACCTCAGCAGCCCTTTTTGTTTTAAGTGGACGTAGATTCAGAAATTTGGTTGCATTATCTTGATAATTTAAAAGCCACTTAAACTCACCATCGGGACAGGACTAAAAATGCATAAGGTCGACTTGTCCTCTTAGATTAAAATCACGTGAGACGATTCGCTTCGTCATAATACCTTTTCTTGGTGCGTTTCTATTAGTTTCACATATAGGACACAAAGACACAAAAATTTCTACTGCTTTCTTAGGAATATAATATGTCCTTTATGTCGTACAAAATTCTATCTCGCCCACCATGACCGCAGGATTTATGTACATCTAACAAGATATCAAAATACTGTTCTCTAGGTAAAATGCGTACTGTGGGATCAGTCGCCGTGAATCTTCATTTGCAGTTGTCATAATGTCGTATTTGCCCATCCAATAATAATCCATTGCCGTCCTTCGCTGTCCAGAACTCATGCCCACCTCAGCTTTTTTTATGTCGTTCATAACCTCCATAATTCTTTCTGCTGTCCAAGCTTTCCTATGCGATCCTGCAATGATAAAATATAAACCACATTAATTATATACCCTTGGTAAGAAATCGATGAACTAGGGCTCATTTGTTGTTCTTAATTTATTTAAAAATGTATCTTTGTATACGTATGTAAATAAATATTATATATCTTTTCATTATTTATAAACTGCTTCCACAGTCAAACCAATAATGCAGTGTTGCAGAATTTGTATCTATACTGAACTTTCAGTTCCACCTAAGATCGGAGAACCTATTATGATCGATCTAGAATTGATCCTAAGCAGATTCGACAGAAATGTATATTTGAGCGTAGAAAACAGGGCGTTGCAGCAAATTACAGTTGCGTTGTGTGGCCTTCATCACTGTTGTGCCAGACAACGTGGTGTGTGGCGCACTCTTTCTACACAAGTGGTGCCCGCTTCTCCCCCTCTATCTCTCTTTCTAGTACACATGGAAATCTAAAAGGGAAAGGGACTTTCTCCAGCACTATTTGCACGTAGTTGAACTATGATTTGCTATTGTATACATTATATACATTTTATACATTTTATACGTGAATATCGAGATGTATACATATATTCACAATTGTACACGCGTATACAATGGTGTATTATACATGGTGTATACAATGCGCCCATCACTGCTTGGCATCCATTCCTGAACCAATATCTGGGGATGCTCAAAGAAATGACTATAGAGGAGAGTGGAAGTATTTTTTAGGTCTTTTGTCTGTCTTGTTGAAAGATCTATTTGCTCCTAAGCAATCTGAGGGTAATTTTCCCAAAACAGGAGATGGTATCCACAATGTCACAAGATGAAAGTGATAAAGTCAATGCAAACGAATAAATAGTAGTTGGAGACATCCAATCTCCACATGAGTAAGTTGACCATGTCGAATCAGCACCGTTTAACGATATCACGCCAACTTTATCTCGAGCTTCTTGTTTTGGCAGAAAACATACTCAAAAGCGGTCATCGAAAGAAGAAATTGGACAGGCTTAACTACGAGTAGAGAAGCAAAAAGTGCAGCTTTTAGAGCAATAAAAGAATACAAACGTATTGTAAAAAAAATTTCGGCTTAGAGGAACTCGAATATTGGATGAGAGCGATGAAATCAACTCAAGATTTTGTAAAACGAAGCCCAAGCCACCATCCGGTTGCAAACACTAACCCTGGATCTACATTTGGTGAACAGAAAACTTTTATGATTTTTATGATGTAGAAAAAAATTTGAATTTATCCCAATCAGAACCTCACTTATACAGTAATGTCACTTTATTGAATTAAATATTGAACTCATTGAGGATGTAACTTATGTATTTCGGTTTAGTTTATTTTTGAATGATTTTTTTTTGTTAGTGTATTACCTTAGGGTAGGTGGGGGTAAAAGTCCGCATGGGGTAAAAATCCTCAATAGTGTAGTTAGAAACTCTCTTATTGTTTTCTACCCAGCGATGCATGTCTCGGTCGGTATCTGGCAGAAGTGGCAACAGCGTGAACACGTGATCTGTACATCGTTATACGTGATAATTATGAGGTAAGTTGTGAATTTCTCTGCTTTAATCTAATATTTTTCAATATAGAGGTGAGGATTATGTGTCTTCAAGGCATCTGCTGGAGATTTTTTCAGTAGCTTTAAAAGACTAGTATCATCGACAACACGTTTCCAAAAACTAAACTTAATTTGAGGTTATGTTTTTCACACCAACCTTGATAAATCTGAAGTGTCGTTATGGGGCAAAAGTCCGCATGCCTAATGGGGCAACGATCCGCTAAGATCATTTTCCCGTTCCATGAGGATGTTTGCCCCGTTTTTGTTGATGAAAAAATCAACCGTTTGACCGAAAAGTGTAAACTGTAAATCGCTTTTTTCAGGACCTATATAAGAAAAAAAGAAAACCTAAAGCCACTCACCGAGTATGTGCTGATACAGGCTAAAGAGTTGAGAGAAAAGGGGCTATCATTTAGGGAAATAGGAAGAGCCCTTGGCTACGATGAATCAACTATTCGAAAGAGGATAAAAGCTGGCAGTGGCGTAAATTCATTAGGGCGGTTTCGAAAAGTATTTACTGCAGTGCAAGAACAACAGATGGTGAACCATTGTAAGGCATTGGACTTACGTTTCTACGGACTTACCTTGAAGTCGCTCCGCTTTCTGGCATATCAGTTCGCACACAGAAATGGTATCCCTCACCCATTTAATAATGAAACTAGACTAGCAGGTAGAGATTGGACGAGACAATTCATGAAAAGGAATCGACTTTCATTGCGTACCCCTCGAAAAACTAGCGTAGCTAGAACAATGGGATTCAACCAGCAGCAATTGTCTCAGTATTTCGAAAATTTGAAATATGTCCTTGAGAAGTACAAATTTCCAGCTAACAGAATTTACAACATGGATGAAAGTGGATTTCAAACCGTCCCAAGTAAATTACCGAAACATGTGGCTCCCACTGGAAAAAGAGAAGTAGCCAAAAATGTAGCTGCTGAGCAGGGAAAGACTGTGACAGTGGCATGCTCTATGAGTGCAACGGGTCACTATGTTCCACCATTTTTTATTTTTGCGCGAAAGAGATTAAACTCTCTTTTGATAAAGGATGCTCCAAGTGGTTCAGCTTTAGGTGTAACGGACTCAGGATACATGAATTCACTAAGATTCGTAGATTATTTAGAGCATTTTCGCAAGTACACAAATCCTACTTTTGACAGCCCTATACTGTTGATTCTGGACAATCACATTTCTCATACCAGCCTGCAGGCGATAACCTACGCAAAGAATAATAATATACACTTGCTCAGTCTTCCACCACATAGTAGTCACCGTACACAGCCCTTGGACAGAAGTTTTTTCAGGCCACTTAAAGGTTACTACGATGACTTGTGTGATAACTGGACTACCTCGAATCCTGGACAAGTAGTAACAGAATATCACGTTGCTGGACTATTCAAGCAGGCCTATGAAAAAACTGCTAGTATTAAAAAAGCCGTTAATGGATTTCAGATGACTGGAATATACCCACTCAATGAAAATATTTTCACTGAAGAAGACTTTCTTCCAGCTTCTGTGACCGAACAGGAGATTGACGACATAGACGACCTGGACAAAAATGACCCTGACATGCATTTAGTGATTGTATTTGAAGAAAACAAGCCCGAAGGCGATAACGAAGGGGGAAATGTTGCAGAGGGCATAGGTGAGGAGGGCACCAGTAGAGAGGGCAGTAGTGGAGAGAGCAATAGAGGAGAGATAAATAGTGGAAATGGCAATAGTGGAGCAATAATGCTCGAATCTAATGAAAAGAAAAATAATGTACCAGACAACTCCCTAATTTTGTCGGAAGCATCGTGCTCCTCACACTGTGAAGGTAGTGTTGTGCTACCTTCTGATATTATTCCTCTCCCTATAATTTCTAAAAAGAGAAAGCGGACGAGAAAAGGACTCAAATCTACTTTACTCACTTCCACTCCAAACAAAGAGGAATTAGAAAATATAGAGCAAGAAAAGAAAAGAAAAATGGAAGAAAAGGAAAGAAAAGCGAAGATTAAAAGGGATAAAAAAGTAAAAAGAAACGTGTTCAAAGAAAAACAAAATCTCACAAGAAAAAATAGCGAGACCTCATCGGAATCCGAATCAGGACTTTCCCTTCACGATAGTAGTAGCGATTTGAATCTTTCAACCAGTGATGATGAAACAGTCCGTGAATTTACCCCAGGACAGTTTGTCGTTGTCAAAGTATACGGAAAAAACAAAAAATCATTTCGCCATTACGTGATGCGGATTATTGAAGTGATGGAAGATGGTTGTAGCGGAAGGTATTTCAAAAAAGCGTCCGATACACAGAGATTCATTGAAACTACTGAAGAATTCTTTGTCAATAAGTGTGACATAGTAAGTAGACTCCCCATGCCACAGACAGGCAGTTCCGCCAGGTTCAAGGATTCGGTTACGTTTTCAACAGACTTGAGCAACTTTGTTTTGTTATAAATATTATTTCTTTTGTATTTTATAAAATACTATGTTTTTCTGGAAATATATTCTTCAGTTATGTGACATGCAGTTTTCATTTTTTGGAGGTACTTTCTGAAAGGGGCAAAAGTCCTGAATGCGGATTTTTACCCCCTTCCAAGGGGCAAACGTCCGGATCATCATGTTTTGGTATGACACTTTTTCACAAACATACGAGTACATCCGTATATTTTGCATTTGATTCATGTTACAAGTCAAGAGTATTAATAGTTCTAACATGTCAACAAGTTTGAAGTTCGTGTTATAGACGAATGCGTCACAAGCAACTACAAATGCTAAAATGCGGATATTTGCCCCCACCTACCCTATATTATTGTATTCAGTTTGTTTTAAAATGACTGTCTTAGCTTGTGTTTTAAAACACAAGAACTTTATGTATTGTATAACAAATTTTGCTTAACTATATCTCATTTTACTTACCTGATTGTAACCATTAGGCGCTCCCCGGATGAAATTGGTTTACCATGACGATTTCTCCACCTTTTTTTAATAGGCTATTTGACTAATTTTGCAAAATCATTTTAAATTATTCTTTTATATATAATGAGCGCACTACATGAATATTTCCTGAAAATCTATACTATTTTTAATAGAAATCAAATTTAAAGTTTGAATTTTTAGAACCGCGCCAAAAACGCTATTCCTTTGATGGCGCCGGCAGATGACGTCTGTGACGTCACACGCCAGTAAACACGATCACGAGCTGTCAGCCGAAGTTAATTTCATTATTGTGCTTGATTTTGCTATAAAATCATAGATAAAATGGTCTATAAATGGTGTGTAGTGCCAAAATGTACGAATACGTGTATAAATAGTCCACAAACATTGTTTGTTTCTGTTCCAACCGATTGTAAAAGACGAAAAAAGTGGTTACTATTAGCTCGGAGAGACCCAAAGGGCATTTCATCGACTTCAAATGTATTTATGTGTGAAGATCACTTCGATGTAAGTATAAATTGAATATGTTATCTACTAGGTAGCTTAAATTACCGCTTTTTTTAAGATTGAAATAATATATAACTATCTATAACCTCAAATGTATCTTTGGTTATGTTGAGGATAAGTCAGTGTTGACGATCAAAGATCCTGTTTATTAACCCTAAACTTATTACTCTGTAGGGTTTCAAAATGTTTTCTGTTGTTTTGATTATATTAGCTACCTACATATCTCAATAATTTTCTATGCTGTGTCATTTTACCTACTTTGCTTATTAGATAGTGATAGTTATGTTGAATTGCAGATGGAAAAAGACACCATTAACTACATGCAGTACAAAATTGGTTTCAGCAAGAAGATACTTTTGACAGAAGATGCTGTGCCAACAAAATTTCATTATCAAGAAGATCGTAAAAGACCACTGTCTGATGCTGGACTTTCTCGAGGAGCATATGTCAAGAGGAAAAGAATGGATTTGGTCAACACTTGTTTGCAAAGTCAAAATGCTACTGAAGCCCAAGCTGAAAGCTTACAAAAAGATGAGAGTTTGATACAAGACATTATTGAACCTCAAGGTATGTCATCTATTACATGTGTCCTATCATAAATTATAGTCTAAGAGCTGATAGACATTTTTGTAACCTGTTTGAGGCCTTATAAAAACTTGTCTACTACTTCTTCCATTATTTCTGAATAAAAAGGGCAGAACTGAATAAGGTGAGTAACTGTTGTCCCTAGGGGTATTGTGGGTATTTTTCAAAAAAATCATAAAGACATATTTGTAGCACATTGAGATTTTCACAGAATAATATTTATGGTTTAAAATTGATATATTCAAAGTGATAGGTCATTTTAGTTTGACATTTTACTTGCTAGGTGATCAAGAATGCTCAACTTCAGGTAATGGGTAATTTTCTCTCAACCTGTTGATGTTGTGATTCACTACCCCTTATCCAGCACTGCACTATTTCTTCAGTGATAATGGAAGAAGTAGTAGACAACTTTTCATAGTGCCTTAACGTAATCATTTACATTGAAATTAAGACATTAATTTTGAGTCTTTGTTCTTTCAGGTTTATCAAGAACTCAAGACAGAGAAACTATTACCAACTCTATCATAACTGCAGAAAAATCTGTGCAAGTAACAATAAAAGAGAATGTGCATCATAGGAGCAAATCTGTGGAAACAAGATGCCAGACTACAAGTATTTCTACCTCACCAATGAAAGTTTCTACAACACCTCGTTCCACTTCGCCCTTTAAGATTAAACCATGCAGTCTTCGACCATCACAGTCTGAAATTGTCAAAGCAGTCAAGAGAAATGTTTTTCTTGAAGATGAAAAGTCAGATAGTGATATTTCCTGTATTGAAAGTGGTCGTCATTTATCACCTTTTGTAACTAAATCAGCATCATCATCATCAGGGCTTACCGACTCTGATAGTAACGTTACAGATGCCAATGAGAATATTGAAAAATTAGAGTGCCTCAAAATTACTATGCGTTCAATCTCTAAAAACCAATGATGTATGTTGGTATTCCAAAAGAATGTTATTTCTTAATCAAATTGTTACATAAACACACAAGCATAAAAGTAGAACACATTTTGCTATGCTTGAAAAAGATTAGAATGAACAGTACATTTTCTGAACTGGAGGATAATCTTGGAATATCATTATCTTATGCTAGTAAATTGTTTCTACAAAATATACCAATAATAGCTAGTGTTTAAGACCATTCATTGTAAAAATAGATAAAAAATTGGTAAAAAAAATCTTCCTATTTCATTTACACATTTCAACTATCATAATGTCAGTTGCATCATAGATTGTTTAGAGATTGATATACAAAAACCATCAAAGGCTCTTCATCAGTCATTGACGTGGTCAGAGTACAAAAAGGGGAATACTGTGAAGTATTTAGTATCCTGCACACCTAATGGTTTAGTTAATTATGTTTCGCATGGGTTTGGGGGCAGAACCAGCGATGCCACAATAGTAGAAAATTGTAACTTTCTAGATGGATTACCCCAAGGATCCTGTTGCTTAGCTGACAGAGGCTTCAAACACCTTGAACAAATACTTCATGAAAAGGGACTAAAACTATTAAGGCCACCCAGTGTAAATGCTGGTGCAAAGTTGTCAAAAACTGAAGTTCGACAAACTAAAATAATAGCTAGTTTGCGGATTCATATTGAAAGGGTAATAAGGCGTTTGAGAGAATTTCATATTTTAAAGCAACATTCAGTGATACATACTAACATACATCGTGTACTTGACCATGTCATTATAATTGCATGTGCTCTAATAAATTTGCAAGATTCTCTTATTAAATAATGGGTTTTTGCCTGTTATGATATTTTATACTTAATTATTATCATGTAATCTCCTCTTTTGTGACATACCATTTGAACATTGTGTTTTGTACTTGGCTGAATAAATACTTCTACTACTACTACTATAAATAAAGAAATAAATGATGTAAAACCATGAATAAAATAATAATAAAACGAGAAATATGCACTGCATAGTTTTTTATTTGATAATCACAGACTAGTGCTACGATACAAAATAGGATATATATTTTTTTTCCAAAAAATATACAAGTTTTTTATTAAGTTGTTGACATAATCATCTTCGTACTTCAGTAGAATAATATCTACATTTTTTGTTTTTTCAAAGTTGCTATCAGCAACATTTTTTAAATGATTGTGCTTAGCTTTTGCTTTGGTAGGGCATTTTATTTCAACAATGGCATCTTTCAATAAACTATCAGGAGATGCTGCAAGCATGGGATTGTCTTGGCATACATAAAGTCCACATGTACTGATTTTTTTATTCAATGTTGTACTAACTGTCTTCCGGACAGATAGCTCCAAACTTCTACCTCTTTTCATTGCAATAGTAACTGGTATTTTTGCGCCCATTATAGTAGCAACCAATGAACCATCATGTGTATGACATACGCTCACTTCATGTGCCTTTGAAGCTGTGATACGGCCATACCTCATCTCATACCACAAGCTGCTCTTGTACTGCATTCTTGTTGCTTCTTCAATTGCACTGATAGCAGCTCTGTTGAATGTTGTCTTCATTATGTCTACAAGATTGTCTACGTCTGCTTGAATTTTTGGTGGTTGGTCCATTATGAAACAGTGCAGCGAATACCGCATAACATTTGAGTGTTTAAAATCGTCCTGATATTTTATCAATTCACAGTGTTGAAGTTTTCTTTTTTTGGCTTCCAAAATAAAGTCTGTGTAAAGTGCTGATGTACTTGGTCTGTGTCTTTTTCGAAATCTGCTGCACCGGGATGTACTTCAGAGTAGTCCTTACTCTTGACAATGTTGGCTTTTTCCAATAACATTCCACCGAAGTAGATGGAGGTTCCTCACTGCGCCGATGTACCCACATCAAAAAAGCGACTGCATGCTTGCAGCCTCCTGCTGAAGCAGCACAGTCATGGCACTGACAACTTATTATCTCGCTTTCATTTTCGTTGATAACCATTGTCACATTATAAGCTTTTGATCTCACTTTGTGCTCTGGGCACATTTTGCACTTAAGTGTGCAAAGTCCATGCTCCCGGTGCAGCTGCACATAGCCAATTGCATCGTCTCCGTAGGACTCCCTTCCAGACCTGTAAACAAAAGCAAAACATGAAAATATGTTTTATTCATGAAACCATATATCAACCATACTATCATATTGAACTGAAAGCTTTTTTCATTACATCAACATAACCTAAAATAAGATTGATTTTACAAATCTTTTAATGAGATCATACATAAAGGTTAGTAGGTATAAATAAATAATTTCTATTACTACTTACATTGTTGTTTTCACATGTTTGAGTTCCGCAGCATAGTAGTCCGCATTATTTTTGAAGAAAAATGCTACCATTAATGCGTCAACCTTAGGTAGATTGCTGTTATCAGCTTGCACAAAATTTAGGTCCATTTTGAAGTCCACAACGAATAATGATGCCAATAGTTGAAAGATTGATCAAGAAAGTAATAAAAATCTGTTTACGAAATAGAATTATGATAGAATATCTCACAGAAAGCCAGCAAAAACGTACAACGCGATGTTTGTTTACTTGCATGTCACGTCACCAGAGTCGCAGCCAATCGCAGGGCGTTTCTGTGACCCATCGAATTTTTAAAAATAGCTGATTTTTATTTGATTATTTCCCAAAAAATATACATATTTAGGTGTACATTAAAGTACTATGTGTTTTCTTATTCTATTATCTAATAGGATCACCACAATTCGCAACTTATTTTCAATACTGTCAAATAGCCACAATTCGCAACTTATTTTCAATACTGTCAAATAGCCTATTCTATCAGGGATACATGTCAATAGATGAATAATCAAACGTTGTTACTTCCATCCTCATATATTCCGTAAACTTTGGAGGATGCTCCCTTAAAGTCTATAAAGATGATGAAACTCCCCAAACTTGTATCTCTGGGTATTTATAGGATGAGTGAGAATTTTCGCTTTCTATATGTCCTTTTTAAAATATAGTACTTAACAGCACTTGACGACAAAAGTATTTTTTCTTCAGGAACACTCATTTTAATAAAAAATGCAGTTAGATGGGATCCATGTACAATACTTTAATTTTCAAAAAGCAGGTATCGTCGCTACTGTCGAAGCTCTATTATAAAATACATAGCAAGAAACAAATTTTGCGTTGCTTTTGTCACTGCTCTTATCGCCGCTCTTATCGTTTATCGACGCTCCAACATAAACGCACCCTTAAAATATTTTCGGAATCTGCGTTGAAGCGGGTGATATTATTTGCTCTTTAAACAATCGTTATGCGTATCTCTCAGATTTTGATTTTGATGCGACACCGCGTTTGAATTCGGATTTCTGTTAGGCTGATTTCGCCACGGGTTATTTAGGTTAAAGCGTGTTTACTGTAGACTAGTTGAGAGAGTTTCAGAATAAGTATTATCAATTTACTGAAGATAGTCCTCAACTTCATCAATTGTTTTAAGCTCCATGCTGACAATACCTCACTGTAAAGCTGGACTAAAATGTTTCGATAGCATGTCTGTCAGTTTTGCCTCCGAAATTGGTTCCCAAAGGTACGATGATTGGCAGGAAGGAATCAAAGGAATATTCTGCTCGGTTTCCCCATTGAAACTGGCGATAATTCAGAGTAAGGTAAAGTTCTCCTTGAGGTTCTACCCCCAACATTTATTTAACTCTTAACCTGTCACGTGTAGTCTCTGTGGCTGATTGATATATAAACAGCCGTATATTTTTAGAACGGTTTGTAATTTTCGGCTGTACCTTTATCTAATCCTCCTACTCTAACACGCCTCCCCTCCACCCTATTAGCACTATTCATTCGCCATCGATCTCTGAGAAAATTTGCGTCACTTTATTTTACGCAGTCTACCAGACGGCACGAGACCGTTAGGCCTCTTGTTCACGACACGTTTTCTTTGCCGTACGGCAAATTTGCCGTACGGTTACAAAAACGTGCAAGCTTGCACGGGGCACGGCAAAGGTGCCCGTCGAATGAATCCAAGTGAGCTCAGTTGAGACTTTTCTGCGGCAAACTATAGAAGTCCTCGCCATGAATCCTAAGAAAAAGATTGTGCTTGCGTACTATGTGTATAGAAGACTGAAAAAACAAGAGAGAAGAAAAAGAAGGTTTTGGATACACCCGATCTTGAAAAAACGGGGAGAATTAGGCGCATTTCATACGCTTGTCAAGAATCAATTGAGGGAGGATGAAGCCAAGTTTTACAATTATTTCAGAATGCAGAAAACAACTTTCGATAAACTGCTGCAAAAATTATCACAGAAATTAAAGCACCAAGATACCAATATGCGACAAAGCATACCTCCCGCAGAAAGATTGGCTGTAACGTTGAGGTAAGTAAAAAATCAAACTAAATACTTTTACTTAAATTTATGTATTAATACAAAGCCTTGTATCTCAAACGAACTTGTACTATGAATGATTATAAGTTACGTAAAAAAACTAAGTTGAAGCTAAAGATGCTCCCGAAATGCAGAGCTAAAATCGAATTCTTCAGTACTGGCTTGAGAATTTGCAGAGGTACTTTCTGTATTCACACTTTGAGCAGATGCTTGCGATTCTGGTCGGTTGGGGATGGGCTCTAAACCAGAGCTATGTCCAAAATCGTATTCCTGGCCATTGATTCCAAAGCCTGATCGAGCAGCTGTGGAATGCCCATACACTGAAAACTGTGAATTCGCAGGTGTTGTGCCGCTTTGATATCCTTGCTGGCCATGATCCCATTGGTTTCTAGGTGCTGCTATATATCGGTTATTTTCTCTTTCTTGTATGCTTTTAATTATTGAAATGACTTGAAACTGGAAGTCTATCATGTTTTCATCAGTAAACTTGTCAACTGAATCAGAAATTCCTCTAAAAAAGTTCATACTGCGGCTTTTCTCCTCCTGTGCCGTTACATCCATAAACTTCATAAACTTAATGTCAACCTCACTAAGTTGATTATTTTTTTTCTTCTGCTTAGCCTTTGGAGCCTCACTCGCTTTACCGTTCTGTGATCTTGATGGATTCGGTTCTGCATTTTCATTATTGATGCCTGAACTATTAACATGCTCATCCATACTGGAATCAGTCTTGCGATGTTCTACAATTTTGCTTAAGAATAGCATTTGATCATAAAAATTGTATTTTCTTATTTTGTGTGCTCCAGCGCCAGATTTATATTCACCCATTTTTTTATGACATTTCATCCAATTATCTTTCATATTGGTCCATTTTTTCATCACATGTTGCCCTGTAAATAAAATTAATTTTTATCATTGTATTTCAGATACCTAGCAACAGGAGCTACGTTTACAGACCTACACTACACCTATAGAATTGGAGTAAAAACCATAAGTTGCATCGTACGTGAAGTTTGCCAGTGTATTTGGTCAGAACTGTGCAAAGAGTATATGAAAATGCCTTCTAAGGAAGACTGGCTACAAATAGCTAACAAGTTTCAAGAATCTTCTGATTTCCCGCTATGCTTAGGTGCAGTCGATGGTAAACACATCAGAGTGATTAAGCCAGTGGATAGTGGTTCGATGTTTTTGAATTACAAACATTATTTTTCTATAGTTTTAATGGCGGTAGTAGATAGCGATTACAATTTTATATTTGTTGATATTGGTGCCTACGGAAAGGAATGTGATTCCAGTGTTTTCAAAGAAACTGCATTTTGGAAAAACTTAACAAACAATACACTGAACCTACCCGACGAAATCCGCTTGCCTGGAACAGACTACAAATTACCGTTTGTGTTTGTTGGAGACGAAGCCTTTGCTCTGCACTATCACTTACTTCGTCCATTCGGAGGCCATCAACTTGACCAATTAAAACGAACGTTCAATTATCGACTCACAAGAGCACGAAGATTTGTTGAATGTGGTTTTGGCATTTTAGCCAATAAATGGCGTATTCTCCACCGGCCACTGAATGTTTCCATCGATTTGGCTGTGGATACTGTGAAAGCTTGTTGCATTTTACAAAATTTTGTACATAAAGAGGAAAAGTTTCAGTTTGATAATACGAGTGAAAGAGAATCAACCTTTGAATCAGAATCGGAACTAACACAGTTACCTATGACGAATGCAGTTCGCGGAAATTTGTTAGCTAACGATGTTCGCAACAAATTTGCACAATATTTTATGTCTAACGAAGGTAGCCTCTCTTATCAAAATAACTATGCTTAAGTGGATTACTGTAAGTGAGAAATATATCAGTTACTAACCAAAAGTGTTCTTTTCTTCACCACTTAAATCTTCAAATGCGGGATTCAATTGTACGAATATTTCTTTCCAGCAATCAAACTTCAGGCGTTTATTTTTATAACCTTCTATCGTCTTATCCCAGATCACCGGCCTTTCTTGAACTAATGTTATAAGAACTTCTTGATTGATGTCCATTTTATCGCTTATTTCATCAGCCTGTGTAATATCTTTCCCAATACGTGAAAACGTCCGGCACCATCGACAAGCTCTCATGCACTGCGATACAACACTGATGAAAATCACGCCGTCGCCAGACGCGGCGCGCCGAGGGGCTTTCACGGCGAGCACGGCAGCTTTGCCGTAACGTAGCGCTGCCGTGTATGTCTACAAGCTCCCACTGTGATCCATACAACACTGATAACCGTGCCTACCTACGGCGAATTAACCGTAGATTTTTACGGCGAAAAACGTGCCGTGAACAAGAGGCCTTAGAGTGACTTTATGCGATAGGCATCATCATGGCTGAATCGTTGAAGAGAGTACGTTATGGTGACCTGAACTTCGAAAAAACTGTTGTGAAGTGGTTTCGTGATGTAGATGAAGACGAGAGTGATTTTGAAGATGTTGCAGAAGATGAATATTAATAATAATAACATGTTTTTATTAGGCACATTATAAAACTAGAATATAATGTGACCTCTACGTAGGCGAAGTCTAGCTCTTGGCTACTCAACTTACCCAAATGATAAATTGAAACATCTCCTAACCAAACGAAAGCAGCTAAAGATGCCTCAAAATAAGCGAACTTGATAGCTTTTCCACAATTAATACAATAAATAAAACTGTTTCACATGCTTAGGAAATCTGTTTACTGGCCAATCGTTTATGTTATAATCTAAATCGTTATAAATCATGATAGCATTTTAAGTGTATGAACTACGAAATAAAGTTGTTTTATACATAGGGTTCTCTAGTCCTTTTTTTGATTTTTTGATCATACTTCTTGAAATTAAATACATACCGATAAAATGTGCTTTGGAGTTTTTGGAGTCTTGTTTTTGTGATAGAATCAAAACAAAGATAGAACACAGTGCTACAGTGAAATAAGCTAGGAAATATAATAGCCTCATATCACTTTTTTCTAACTTTAAAATTCAAAATAGAGTGATTGCCATAAGAACGCTTCAAAGTTGCATAATATTTTTTTAAGATAGACGAAACATGCTCCTTAAACTGTGAAGTATAATCAATAATCAACCCTAAATTTGTTGTAGTATTTACGACAGTTAGACGCTCCTCATCGATTTTTACATCAAGAGAATTCAATAAAGTGTTTGACAGCAGGACAAAAAAGCAACACTAAGCACTTATCCTTATTGAGCTTAAGATTGTTACCAGTTGAATATCCTACTATTGCCTCCAAATCATCATTAAGCTCATTGATTGAAGTATGTAAAGTGTTACCATTAAAGCTCTTATATATAATAATAATAATAATAAACCGTCTTTTATTAGAAAAAAAAAACAAATTACAGATAATTCGTATATTATTATCTATAATTAGATCAGTGAGCAGCTAATGGCGAAGTTTAGCTATGGCGGCTATTCTTACATTAACTGCATAAGAATATAGATGGTAAAAAAGTACAGCTGTAAAGAAAATAATAATGAAAATAAATGGAGGAAAATGCCCATGTAACTGATTATGATTACAAACTAAATAAAAATTAGCTTAAAAATATAATGCTGGAGAAAACCACCTTTAAGAAATACCATTGAGCAGAAGAGCTCTTAAGTGCTTTTTAAAACTATACAGCGGCAGGCTTTTTGTTCTGTTATCTAAGCTATTGTACAATATCCATGCATTATATGAAAAGGACCTGTTAAAAACAGTTGAACTATGAAGTGCCATAGTTAACGCGAATGTGTTTCTGATATGTCTTTGATGAACATTATACCTAAAAATTAGTCTTTCACGTAGATAAGTTGAAGTTCCAGAGACAAGTAACTTATGTATAAAGGTTAGATTGTTGTATTTAACTAAATCTGTCATCTTTAACCAACCTATTAAAGGATAACGATCCGAAACATGATCAAATTTTCTTAAACTAAATATGAATCGTACGCAGTTATTTTGTACTACAGATATTCTGTTACGACTTGCAACATCCAAACAAGGATGATAAACTAGATTGCAATAATTAAAAATAGATAACACAAAAGGTTCACACAAATTTTTTAGCACTTTAAAATTCTGCAAATTTTTGTTCGCATACAGAGTTCTCAGACGGATGTAACTTCTTTGTAAGAGGTTATTTAAATGTTAACGAAGCCGCACGTCTTCATCAATAAACACACCTAGACACTTGACACTTTCAGAAAAAGGAAGATTTTGATTGTTAATAGATATACTCAATGAAGCTTTGACTTCGTCTCTGCTGTGATTTGGACAAAACAGCACAGCAGAAGATTTGGAAGCATTAACGGTTAGGCTGTTATTGGCTGAGTAGATGCAAATAGAGTCAATGTCCTCGTTTATTTCCATAGTAGCAGTCTGGAGGTTCTCAGGGTAAAAGAAGTAAAGCAGTTGAGTGTCATCCGCATAAGACTGTAGCTGTGAATTTTGAATGGACTTAGCAATATCGGCTACATAAATTAAAAATAACAAGGGTCCTAAAATTGAGCCCTGAGGCACACCCGAAGTGATAAAGTGCTCCAGAAACTGAGACGCGCTGAGAACGGTGGGTTAGGTATGATTTAAAGAACTGCGGTGCTATTTTATCAAAACCATAAAATTTTAGGTTAGCGCACATCAGTGCGTGATCAACTCTATCAAAGGCCTTGGAGAAATCCAGTGAAACTAAGGCGACACACATTTTTTTTATCAAGGGCCCTGATGATATTGTCCACTAAATTAAGAAGAGCAGTTGTAGAACTGTATGATTTTCTAAAACCAGACTGATGTACTGGGAGTATGTCACTTGACTCTAAAAAATCTATGATTTGCAAATAAATGATTTTCTCCAAGATCTTTGACAAAACACTCAAAAGACTGATGGGCCTGAGATCCGAGAAATCGGTGGGCTTCCTGACCTTAGGTATTGGCTTTACTATTGCTCGTATCCAAGATTTAGGAAAGTAGCCCTTCTCAAGACACAGATTGATAATATGGGTCAAGTAAGGTAGTATAATAGGGAGAGATAGCGTAATCATAAAAAGAGGTATACAGTCAATACCCTTTGCATTTGACTTAAGGCCACTCACAACAGTTTTGATAGTAGTAGGCTCAACCAGAGTGAAGGAAAATCTCCGATTGCCAAACGTGTTATTGTGATAAAAATTGGATGTTGCTTTGTCGGGCTGAGCACAATGAAACACTGATGCAAAATAATCGTTTATAGCGCTTGGATCATTGAGGTGAGATGGAATACTTTCAGTTCTTGTCTTTGAATTAAAGCCACCGATATTTATGTTACCTAAAGCTCTCCAAAGTTCTTTCGACATATGATGCTCTTGTAAGTAAGATAGATAACCCGCTTTTTCACGCCTAATTGACGCAAGAGCAAAATTACGTTTTTCTTTGTAGCTTAACCAGCTCGATACTGTTTTATCGGATTTATATTTTCTAAGTACAACATCACGTCCTTTCAGAATAATTTCTAACGGAAAGGTCAACCAAGGTGCCTGACGTTTATTGACTCTCACCGTTGTGAGCGGCGCGTGGATATCAAAAACGTTAAGAATGTTCCTTGTAAGGAAATCAACTTTTTCATCGATGTCATTCAATAATATCAGGTCGTGCCAAACAATTGAGCTTAAATCACTACAAAATCCGTTTTCATCAAAGTTTTTAAAATCTCGAAAAGAGATGAAAGTTTGCTTAGTTTTTTTGACAGCAATTTCCAGCGAGCAACATACAAGTCGATGCTCGGAAATGTCCCCAACATCCAAAACCATTGTGTCTGTACAAAGTATTTGAAAAAACTGCATCAATTAGAGTGGCTGAAGTTTCCGTGATATGGGTGGGTTCTTTAACCATTTGGCAAAAACCATAACACGAAAAGCATTTATTAAGATTATTGTCGGCATTAGATAAATCAAAGTTTAGGTCACCTAATATTAAAACGTTATCATACTGACAGATGCACAAAGGCAGGACAGTCCCACACGTTAGCAAAATCGCCAAAGGACTTAGATGGGGGTCTGTAAATGACACCAATGCATTTTTCTTTATGAAGAGTAACCTCTAGCCAGATGCTTTCCACAACTGTGCTGGTATCAATACCAAAGTCAACAAGTCTCACCTGATACATAGATTTAATATAAATGCCAATGCCACCTCCTCGGCCTTCTCTATCTCTGCGATAAAAGTTATACTCTGGAACTTTAACAACTTCAGTAGGTATATTGCTAGTCAACCATATTTCGGTCACCGCGAAGAAGTGGTACTCTTGTTCAGTTAATATATCCATAAAGTCAGAAAAACTAGACAGGATAGAACGAACGTTAAGGTGACCAAATGTCACTGTTTTTAGATTACCATCCATACTTGATAATTGAATTGTTGAAGTTGAAAAAACGGACAAGAGAGACTTGTTGCGTACTGTTCAATCAAGAATGAAGATTTTTTAAGATTGGAACACTTTACATTTCCCATTGCCTCTGATTTACAAATTCTTAAAGGTGATATACCAGTGATGTAAGGATCATGCTCGTAAATAAAATGCACAATGTCAATGATACTAGAAAATTGCGATATAACGGTTAATTGCGCTAATTTAAAGTTATGTTGGAGTTTAAATAGCATCGTAGTTGATTTTAGATTTAAGACTATTAATGTGATTTTGAAGAAAGGAGCATGAATTCACATCATTGGCAGAGTGGTTTGTTTCAAATTTAGTTCTCACTTTCTCATTATACTTGGAGCAGTTTATGCATTTCAAAGTATTATTTGTACATTCTTTTAGAAGGTGATTACCAGTACAGTTTGGACAAGCAACATCTAAATTACAGTTTTTCTCAATATGACCCAAACCACTGCACTTGAAGCAACGAAAAACTCTGAGATGATCAGTGACAATGCACTTGCTCCATCCAATATATAAAAACCCACGAGAGAGTAGAGTACACCTTAACACTGGAGATACTTCCAGAACCAAATTTGTTGACTCACGAACTTTCAACTGGGTGATAATTTTCAAGTCAGCAACATCTAGATCGTCGTTGACTGACAGAATATTCTGCAATATCCTGTCGTTACTCCATTTTTCGAATAGCCTAACGTTACGAACAAGTAACCTGGGATTCAATAGTTTAGTCTTAAGGCGCAATTCCACTGAGGCAACAGTGAACGACATGCGGCATGCTACATGTCGCCTCTTGTTGACGTTCGACAATGTTGTCCAAAAGTCTATTAATGCCGCATGCGGATTTTGTTTCCCTATGTGGCATGTGCTTTGTCGTACATGAGTGTAGCATGCGTCTTAATCAATTCAATAGAGGCAACTTCAGTTTGCGGCATCATGTCTTTACAAACGGTTGCGGCGGCTGCATATCTGGTCAAGAAGCACAGAATGACTTTCTTAATAAATTGATTGCTGACGATCAAGCTTTATTTCGAAATTTTACTCGAATGAGTCAAGAAGATTTTGAATACCTATTAGAGAAGATCTCACCGATTATAAGAAAATCTGATACCAACTTTCGTGAAGCGATACCAACTCGTATTAGGTTATTAGTAACATTAAGATATTTGGCTACCGGCGACAGCTATGCATCACTTATGTATCTGTTCCGGATATCTGTACCAAGCATTTCACGAATTATTCCAGAGGTGTGCAAAGCTCTAATCGATGTCTTACATGATTTTGTTAGGGTAAGTAAAATTACAATGACTTATTTTTAAATAGTTTATTGTTCGTAAAAATAGCGTTTATATAATATATTAGTTTAGGGCTTAGAAACTAAAAACTCAGAGAGTACTGTGAAAGTCGAAAGATCTTGTTCTTTATTGTTTCCAAAGTTGTCAGATGGCTGTACATAAATATTGCTGGATTCAGAAGAGGTTGATTGGCGCAAACAAGCAGATGACACGGAGGGTGGTTCACTGCTCAAGGTGTCAGTTGGCAGTACATAGATATTGCTGTGATCAGAAAATCCTGATTGGTGAGAACTAGCAGAAGCCACGGAGCATGGTTGATTGTAATTACTTTCGTTGGTTTCACAAGCTGTGGAAGTGCGAGTGCTAGTTTGGTCATCAAATTTGCCCATACTTGCGTCATATAATATATTGTTGATCAAGTGCTTTGCAATCGTTTGTGCTCTAGGGCTTAGATGCCGCAGTTCATTTCCTACATGCTCTCCATACGTTGAAAACTCATCTCTTTGGCATGAACTTTTCAGAATATTATATGCTTCTTCCTCGCGATCGGAAGGAGATATAAAACGCTTCTTTTTCTCTGTCTTCTTCTTAGGGGCAATAACTATGTCCCTTCTCTCTTCACAGCTTCTGTGACCGTCTATATTACTGACTTCTGCTTCGGTATCTTGTGTGTTGGAGACCGAAATATCATCTTCATTCTGCAACAATAAATCGAGTATTTTATCTCAAAAAAATCAAAATTTATTGCTTCGCAACTTTATCAGCCACTTCGTATATTCGACTTTATTTTGGATGCGTAGATTGTTGAAAGTCAAACAACTTTTGTATAACATAATTAGCCGTTCTAGTAATTTTTTCGAATTCTGTATATAAACATTATATGAAATAGATAATAGGATTTTATTTTTTTCAGATTCCCGACACTGAAGATGGATGGAAAAGATAGCAAGGGATTTTGAAGTACTCTGGAATTACCCACACTGTATTGGAGCGTGTGATGGGAAACACATCGTCTTGCAAAACCCAAAAAACAGTGGCAGCTTATTTTATAATTACAAAGGAACTTTTAGCATTGTTTTGATGGCAGTTACAGATGCCGACTATAATTTTATATACGCCAATATTGGTTGTCAAGGCAGGATATCTGACGGAGGTGTATTTCGAGAAACAATATTTTATAAAAAGTTGGCAAATAATAATCTAGCATTACCGGCTCCGGAGTCACTTCCTGGGAGCAATAGATTATCACCTTATGTTATATTGACGGATGATGCGTTCCCTTTACAGGAACACATCTTGAAACCTTTCAGCGGCTACCATGACAAAGGCTCCTGTGAGAGGGTCTATAACTATAGACATTCACGCGCTCGCAGAGTAGTGGAAAATTCTTTTGGATTGCTAGCATCAGTGTTTCGTGTCTTTAGGAAACCACTTATGGTGCATGTGGACAATGCTGAAATCATTACAACAACATGCATTTATCTTCATAACTTTTTGAGAAGAAGTAAAACGTCGAGACCACTATACTCTCCTCAGGGATCATTTGATCATGAAACACGAGATGGAAACATTATCCCAGGATCATGGAGGGTTACTACCCAAGGCGACAATGTCGTGCTGAATTTACAACATAGAGCTCGAAGGTCAACTTTTGAAGCTAAAGAAGTTAGAAAAGAATTTATGAGATTTTTTACATCAGATGAAGGGCGTGTGCCTTGGCAGGATTTTTATGCTTAAGCTTTATACCTATTAGTACAAACATAAATACCTATTGTAATTGAATATATGTTTTCTTGAAAATATTTACGATTGTAGTCTCACTAGAAACCAAATCGGGATTTTTATAGAAAACTATACATGTGCAAATGTTGAAAATGTAATGTAAAAAATTATGTACCTATAGTTTTGCTATAAAAAGATCGATTTGGTGCTGGTGCGACCCTATATTTTAGTGCAAAAAAAACTCTACGCAGATTCCTCTCCGTTGTCGCTGGCCGTTGATGTTGTTCGTCTATGTTTATCGACGTCTAGTAAAAAACTCAAAAGCTCAAACGCAAACCATTTGCCTTTCGTGAGAGGAGATGAGCCACTTTTCTTTGACTGTAGCTTTTTTCTTTCACGATGGAACGCGGAACGTAGATTTTTGATTTTATTTTTCACTTCAATCACGGTACATTCGTATTTCGTCGCTATTTGTTTTAACTTATCATTTTTAAGTCTGTTGTCTTTATAAGCAGCAATTTTATTATTCCATAATTCTGGAGAATTGTGATAATCTTCAATAAACAAAGTTGTTTTCTCTATAGTCCACTCCATGTCGCAAACTACATGTAGCACCGAACCGAGATGGCTATCGGATAAAAGCCGACATCGTTCGACACGCTGAATCTTGTAGAAAGCTGACGCATGCGTCTGGAAAACAGTGGTCAACATGTGGCATGCGGCATTGTCGCATGCCACATGTTGCTTCATGTTGTTCCAATTGAAAGACTGAGTGTAGCATGCGTCATTGTCGCATGCTACATGTTGCCTAAATGTTGCCTCAGTGGAAATGCGCCTTTACGCACCGTGTACTTTGAACCCAGTTTCTGGGTTACATGCGTCACCAACTTATCCATAGAAGCACCGTCTTCACACTGAATTATAACACCATTTTTTATTTTCTTTACTCCACTCAGGCAAAGTTTAAGATCACTTGGATTCACATTGTTTTGAATATCCTTAATTACAGCATCATTTGGAATAGATGTATTTTCTGATTTAATCATCACACCAGCTGATGGTTTGTTATTGTTAGTTTTTGCTGCTACCGAGTATGAAGAAACATGGCCACTTTTTGTATCACCTTGAAATCTTCCTGCTGTGACTGTAGCATATGAAAGGTTCATGGATGAATTTTTTTCTTTCAATGAATAATAATAATAATGTCTTTATTAATCCCTCCACACTGCGAGGCGAAGCCAGCTGGATACTCTACCACTTAACCTCACAGCGCAGGAACACATACAAAAGGAAAAACATAACAATGAATAACAATCGACTAAATAATATATACAATAATTAAGCTTAAATAGATTAATCTTAATATGTTGTACATCTATTCCACATAGCCCGCTCTAACAAAAAAGAACAATTAAGACAAAAAAAAATAAATGTATCAGCCAGCTTGGCTAGCAGACCCCAGAAGGTGGTTCTTAACGGCTTTCTTGAAAGCAAGTATTCCCATCTTTTTGTAATTGTCATGAAGACTATTGTACACCTTGACAGCGTTGTAGGTGAAGCTACGATGGAAAATGTTGCTCCCAGGGTTGCCAACTTAGTAGATTTTCTACCAGATCTGGTAGATTGCAGTCTTCATTTACTGAGCAAATTTACGTTTTAGTGGCTAGTAGAAAATCCAGTAGAATGAAAGAATCAGAATAATTAGTAAGCTACTTTCGATTTATATCATTATGAACCTTAGTTACTCATGTCAATTTGTCAATTGAAGTAATAATTCAAGAAAGTAGCAAACTGTCATTGGGAAATATCTTATTTTGATTTAGTTGAACATCGAATCGATAGATGGCAGAACCAATGAATTAATTTGCGTATGCGTGTTTCTTCTCTTAGTTCTCCTTTGTCGGAAATCAGGGGTACGAAAGTTAGATGAACGATTTTGCGCCTCGTTTTGGGATATCTATTGGGGTTGCACATCACTAACTGCATTATGTTTGCCAATTCCTTCGGTAGATGGCGCGAGAAATTCACCCGCCATCTTTTTGTCACGTGATTTGATCACGTCACGTTCTGAGCATCATCCACGGGAATCACAGTCATTGTTTTTTCTTGCACAGACAAGTGAAGTTTATCTCGTATTCGATGATTTAGGTGATTTTTGAACATTATTTACAGTATAATTTGTGTGCTTTCTAGTAGCTATAGCATACTATTCTGCTATTTTAAGACTGCCTGCCTAATTATTTGATTTTGGTAAGTGAGCATGATACTGATACATATATGATGTAAATTACTTTGAATTATTATGTATTACAGATTACAGAACCATGCCTAAACCGCAATATACTCAAAAGTTTCGAAACGCATGGTTAAAGGACCCTAGTTTAAAAGAATGGCTGTTGGTTATTGACAGCACTTTAGGAAGGGAAGCTAAATGCAAATTTTGTAGTAAAATACTTACGAGTCGTTACGCCGACCTTAAGAGCCATGGTGAATCCAAAAAGCATAAGGAAAACGCAAGCGTTTTTTCAGGGAGATCATTACAAGGAAAAGTTCAGCAAAAAATTCCATTTACTGCTGTTACTGACCAAGAAGATACCAAGTCTGCTGAAGGGAGATTAGCTCTTTTTATTGCCCAACATAGCTCTATAAATATATCAGATCATTTAATAGATATGTGTAAAAAAGCATTTATTAACTGCTCTGTCTCTAAGAATATGCAAATGCATAGAACCAAATGTAGTAATCTAATAAAAAATGTTTTATCGCCACATTTTGTCAGAGAATTATGTGAGGATATTGGTAATTCTCCCTTTAGTATTTTATTAGATGAGTCAACAGACATTACGGTCGATAAATATTTAGGATGTACAATAATCTATTTTAGTTATAAGACGAAACAAATAGTGAACTCATTTTTAGATTTAGTAGAATTAGAAAATTGTGATGCTAATGCAATTGTTGATGCTGTTTTAGAGACTTTAAAAAATTTGAATTCAAACCTTGCTAATCTAAAAGGTATTGGTACTGACATTGCGTCCGTCATGGTGGGCATCAACAATGCCGTATACGCAAAATTGAAAGAACGGGTTCCAAACCTAATTTTAATCCGTTGTGTTTGCCGTTCTTTGCAGTTGGCAGTTACTGCAGCTGCTAAAGAGTGTTTACCTAGGAATCTAGAATTCCTAATTCGAGAAACTTACAATTGGTTTCAACATTCTTCTTCTAGACAAATAAAGTACAGGCAATTATACGTTTATAATACTATAAATGAAGGCAATGATCCTTTAAAAATAACAGGGATGTCAGCGACACGATGGCTTTCCATTGAGTCTGCCGTTACACGAATTTTTGACCAGTGGGTTGAACTGAAAACTCATTTTTCAATTGTTAAAGATAGCGACAAATGTTATACTGCCCAAATGCTATACGAAATGTATAAAGATGATACCAATTATGCCTTTATATGTTTTCCCAAGCCAATTTTAGGTGAGGTTCAAAGAGTGAACAAAGCCTTTGAAGCAAAAAACGCAGAGTCATGTAAACAGCCGTTTCAAATTATTTTACGATGATATCGAGGCATTTGTTGTGCGCGACAATTAAATTAAAATAAAAGAAATGAAGGAGGCCGGTTTCTCAGATGAGGCAAATCTCCGAGAAAGGTGCATTCGTTTCCCCACAAAATTAATTAAAGAGATCACGCAAAGAATGCCTGATAATATTGACATTTTAAAACAAATCTCAATTTTTTCAGTCGAAAATACACTGCGTGTAATTAAACCTGATTTAATAAACATTCTCGAGCATTTCGAATATGATCCACAGCTAATTGAAAAAGTTAGTATTCAGTGGAAAAATATTACTTTAAAGCAGTGGAAAAATATTACTTTAAGGCAGTGGAAAATACCCAAAACACTATTGATTTTTGGTATGAAGTTCATTCGGCGCAGGACTGCAATGGAGAGTACCCATTTCGAGATTTAGCGACAGTTGCATTATCATTTTTAGTTCTGCCAAATTCAAATGCTGAATTAGAACGGCTTCTTAGCCAAATGAATTTAATAAAAACAAAGTTGCGCAACAGAATGAAATTACCTATGCTAAAATCAATTTTAAACATTAGATCTGGGTTGCAACGCGTTAATAAATGTTGTCATGACTATGAAATCCCTTAGGCGGTTTTAGCAAAAATAAAAAATATACAGAGCTATAAACCACTAGAATGGGAAAGTGATAATGACATCCTTGATGACGAGACGTTAAATATACTTAACTAATCCCGTTTAAAAGATGTAAATTTCTATTGTTTATTTCTATCCGTTTCCAATTAGATCTTAGAGTTTCTTTTTATTTATTTTTTTGTTGTAATATTTTTTTTATTTTTTGACAGGATTTGTTTGACTGTATTAATAGTGAATTATTTTTATTTTTAGAAAGTGTATTTTTTATTATTCGTGCAAGGACTAAAATTAATGCGTCTATTTTTGTTTCGTTTCTAGATAAAATATATTTTTTACTACTACTAATATTACTAAATGTTCTGCTTTTATTTATAGATTTACCTTTATCTTTAATATTTACAAAATATTCAAAATATATTTTCACAATATAGTATTACTAATTTGAAATACTATATGTCCAAAGATCTAAATTAGAGTAAAAACTAAAAATACTCGTACATAATATGCGCACACGCCTTTAAAACCTAAAACGTAATTAACTGCAAAATGAGGGTTAGCTATAACTAGAAGATTTTCTGGTAGATTTATGAAATTCATAATTTTCATCTAAGGTACACCGGGGCAAGTGTGACCCAAAATTTCTATAGTTCAACTTTTTCGCGTTGTATTTCCTATTTTTAATTATGATATTCACTGAAATTTTGAGAGTATAGTCTTAAGTATATGTAGAAACGAAATCTACAAACACAAAACAAAATCAGTATAGATTTTTTTCTAGAAATTATTTTTTTCATGTTAGAATAATGGTTTACACTTCCCCAGCAAATTGGGGCAAGTGTAAATACGCTGTCTGAATTACTACAAAAGTGTTGAGACTTGATTGGGGCTAGTGTAAATAAAAGAAGAGACTAAATATAATCAGATTTTTTTACTAGGATATATTTTGCTCAAATGTGATGTTGAAATGGAAGTGTCCTCTTCTGTGAATATCTGGGGCAGGCAAACAGTGTTGTATTTCATCTCTTCTTATAACTGAGACATCTGGAGTATCTGGCCAATGAAATTGTGATGAAGATCCCGAGCGTCTTGCAAATTTTGCTTCTAAACATGTCTCTACTTCTGTTACTTGCCGTACATAAAATTTAAATGATTTTTTAGTAGCAAATTTTACTAGAATCCAGTCCCCTATTTTCAGTTCTTGAGGATCTTTCTCCAGGTATTTCACGAATTCTTCTTCTTCACGCAAATCATTTACTTCATCGTCTAAGTCAAAATCATCATCTGAAGTATTGACTTCCATTTCTTCAAAACTATCTTCATCTGTGTCTTCTTCGTATACTTGCTTTCTTTTCAATTTTTTACCATCTTTCTTAGTTGTCGACTTCTCTGGTTTTTTAATTTTGTTTGCTTTCTCGTTCAATTTAGCAACTGCTTCCAAGGATGTAATAACTTCGGCACCTATACATACTCTCTTTCTGATCGATTTCGCTGGTTTTGGCATCTGTTTTAGCTGTTCTAAGAGAATGCTCTCAAAACTTTCTGTGTTGTTAACTGGCGGATTCTGGTGTTCTGAACTGGTCGATGGCATTTCCGGATTTATTGAATTTACTGACGATGTCTGCGGAGTTGGTGGTACTGTTGAAGTGGATGGCAAATTAAAACGCTCTTCTAATGTTGATCGTAAATTTGATTGCGCTACTTGTGCTTCTTCCGGATTGTTATTCTTGCAGTTTGAATCACACCACCTTTTATATGCTTCTCGATCGTTGTTCAACGGGAATGACCTCATTATTAAAAGGATATATCCCCCTTTCTCAAATCCTTTGATAAGTAACGAAGGGTTTACTTGTGACCAGATTTTTGATAAAATGGTACAAAACATAGGTTTTGGTAGTTTCGTACCATAGTTTTGTCTCTGCCGTTTTATGAGCTCTGCATCCCATGCCATTTTTAATGACTTAAAACACATAAATCCATAGGTTGTAGCAGATGGCTGGAATGAGGCGGAAGTTTCACTATAAACACATCATTAGCTATTGCCTTTTCTATCAAAGAAATACTAATGTGAAACGTGTGACCATCCAATATTTGGTTAAAAATTGTTTTCATAATATTTTTGAATTCCGTTTCCATCCACCCATTTTTAGTGGCTGAATAAGTCATTCCCGGGTATTCCTCAGTTGGAATCCAACTATTCCATATGTGTTTACCCTTGAACACTACGAGTGGAGGAAGTTTTTCACCTGCAGCGTTTCCCCCAAGGAGAACTGTTATATTCTCTCGTCCTGGACCACTTGTTGTCCTATGGGCTGCTCTACCCTTCTCTCCAACAACTTTTATCCGGGATGGATCCAGGCAGAATCCGGTTTCATCAATATTATAAATTTGCGATGCTGCGATATTTTCAATATGCTGTTTGAGGATATTGAAGTAATCATACATAACAAATGGATCCATAGACCTCTTTCGAGCCACTTCCACAGATTGTGGTTTTTTCTGGCTTAAATGAAATGCTTTCGTGAATCTGACGAAATAATCATTGCCAGGAACTCCATTCTTGAAAGGGGTTACTATATTATTTTCTTTCACATACCGCCCAATTAGTTGAAGAACTTCTCTCTTTGATAGTCCCATACCCCATTTTTCGAGTATTTTAATACTGTTGGAAAATTTTTGTTCTACATCATAAGGCAGAGCTGGTGCCCTACCCCCCGTATTACTTTTTATACCCCGTTTACCCTTTACATGAGTAAATAAAGTAGCTTTGGGTATTTTGTACAATAACGCAGCTCTATATAATGTTAGAGTACCTCTCTGCACAGCTTGTACTGCCTCTTTCAAATCGTTTTTGCTATAGGCTGGAGGAGCTTTCTAAAGGTGGGTCCAGACATGCAACAAAACACCGTATCGTAACAGCACTGCGTAACAAGTGTAGACGTTGGAGCGTATCAACGTAACCCCGCAACATAGTATCATCGAGGCGTCCCACGAGATGTCGGTATTTTGGTGTCGCATCACGCGCTGATGTTGCACCACTGGATTGCAGGTTTGGACTGGTCTGCGTAACAAAGGTGCGATCTACTTTTTTTCTGTGTTTTGAGTAATACTGACAGGTTTATTATGGAGTGGACTGAAGAAGTAACGATTAAATTCATTAACAGTTATAGAAGCAAAGAAATTTTGTGGGATCCACAAAATTCCCAGTATTATAATAAAATAAAGAAAAACGATTCTTGGAATGAGCTCGCTGTGGAATTTAAAACCACGATAGATGAATGCAAAAAGAAAATGAATGTGTTATTGTCGGCACTTAGGCGAGAAAAAGCAAAAATTAAAAAAAGCAAAGGCACAGGAACAGGTAAATGTGAATAATTACATTATATTTTTTATTTATGTATTTTATTTACTTATTAACATATCGAACATATTATATTCATTGCAGGTCGTTCTGATGTGTATGAAAGTAGTTGGTTTGCTTTCAAAAGCTTGCTGTTTCTTTGGGACAAAAATAAAGTTCGACAGACAAAAAGTACCGTAAGTATTGTGTTACGCATAATTATCTTGATACACAAGTGGATCTTCATTTTGAAAGTATAGTGCCAATTCGTCTCTGATTATTTTCGCGTTATCAGTTGGTTTTCGGGGAATATTTTTAAGTGGCAATAGAGAAGACATTGTTTCATTTGTTGCTCTTGGTAAAGGTGATTTGGTATCGAACATGTCATGTGGCATATACAAAGTAGAAGATGTAGAGCTTTTTCTCAAGAAGTTATGTAGATGAGCTATTGCCATTACAATTATTTCAGCTTTTGCGGGTTCAAGTAACATGGGTTTACGGAGTACTCGAAAAACGGCCGAAGCAATACCAAACACATTTTCTACAGTTCTTCGAGCACAAGATAATCTATAGTTGAATATTCTTTGTATGGATCCTTTGAGATGCGTTCCCGAAAACGGTTTCATTAGCGAATCAGTGAATGCAAATGCCTCGTCTCCGATGAAAAAATAAGGAATTTTCCGTTGCATGCCTTTTAAAGTTTCTGGTTCAGGAAAATTCAACTGATTTTTCACTAGTTTTTTGTAAAGTGAACAATCTTTAAAGATACCACCATCTGAAATTCGCCCTTGGCCACCAGCATTGACGTACAAAAAATTATAATTAGCATCCACTAAGGCGAAAAGAACAACGCTGAACGTAGATTTGTAGTTGAAAAATTCGCTTCCAGTGTTGCATGGTGCTTGAATAACCACATGCTTTCCATCTAAAGCTCCAAGGCAATGCGGAAAATTCCAGGTTTTTTCAAATTGCTTTGCCACGTCCAGCCATGATTCTGGTGTTGTCGGTATCTGCAACAACTAGAACAAATTGTGTCATGAGAAATTACGCGATATGCCCACAAATAACTGATATCTTTATTTTCTATCGCAATGTGAATATTCTTGTAAATGACTAGGACTACTATTTAATTACAGATTGAAGATGAAGAAACAGATGATAATGAGGTATCTGATGGTGAATCAACATTGACAGATAACGACGTTGTGAAGGAGACTCAGGAGGTTATACATAATAGACCGAAAAGAAAATTGACGGATGTAACACCAATTAGAAAACAGCAAAGAAAAAGTGAAGATTCTGATAAATTAGATAGAGCTTTTCAGATACTGTCAAAAGCATGAGTAAACGCCAATAACCCAGAAGGACACAACGAATGTCAGATATTTGGAAATCTTGTGGCTAAAAAATTGGCTAAATATTCGCCTGAATTGCAGACCAATACACAACAAGCGATTATGAATATTTTATTTAAAGCAGACAGCATCCATATTCGCCAAAATTCAAGCAATTTCCAATCCCCACCACAACGTACTGACACTATTCACTCATTTTTTTCGAATTATCAGGCTAACCAAGAATCCTGTTTTAATCAAGAGCCATCACAGTTGTCATCTCCAACATATAGTTATGGTAATTCAAATCCCTCGACCTCGAGTGACAATAATACTCCTCTCCCTCCTTCTTTGCCACACGAGTTATTGGATATGTCCCACATTGAACTACAGAGCTTGTAGTTAGTGCAAATGTTTAATGTGAGCAACAGTTTATTTAATGTAACCAATATTTTGTTTAAAATATAGAGTTATTGTGTCAAACCTTTATTTTTTTACCTGTATATTGTCATGTAATCCTTCTATTATTGCTTCACACACTTCAGGAACTATAGTGCTTATAGATTGCTTAGATATTTTAAAGAGGTACTGAAGACTTGTGAAGGAATCACCAGTCGCCAAAAATCGAAGCGTAGCTGCCAATCTGTCTTGTACAGAAATTGCCTTTCTCCAGCTGGTATATTTTCGTAATATTTTGGGTCCAATCAAATTAATCAAATATTCAAAGTCTGTTGCGGACATTCTGGTGAAATTTTTGTAGAGGCCACTCATTTTCAAGCCTATGAGCAAATTACTTCCACTGTACACATTTCTTTTTACGAACAACTGCCTCTGCCAAAAACGTTTTTCTCTTCGCTTTTTTTGATTCTTCTTAACATAATAATGCATGAATATATAGGCAGCAGCGGCGACTTCCATTATAAACGCACTAGGAAAAACGGAACGACAGAATGTTCTGCTTTGAAGATACGCGATGGTATGAAAAAAAGTACACACCGTGACTTAGACGCGTAACACATAGTTGTTGCGGGACGGTGTTATTACACGGCGTTTTGTTGCATGTCTGGACCCACCTTTACGTATGTAATTCCGGACCATGTTCTGAAAACAACGGGAAAGTGTAAACGTAATAGAATTATTGGGGCAAGTGTAAACCACAACATTTAAAAAAAAATCTTTAAAATTCAGAAAAGATAAGTTTATTTACTAATAGAGTGCTTACCAGAAATTACGATGAAAAGTCGTCAAAGTTTTAATACAAAGAGATTTTTATAAGAGACTACAGAACTGCGTCGTCAACTGTAAATGCAAACACACTAAGTAACGAAATGTGATGAAGCGTTCGTTTTGCTAGCGCGCAAGACATCTATTGCGATGCTTAGCCGGTATCATAATAAACCTACTTGGCCATAGATGGCGCCATTATGATAGAATTTAAGACCACAAATTGGCATAGGTTACACTTGCCCCGTATTTACACTTACCCCGGTGTACCTTAGTAGATTTCTGGTAGATCTGGCAGTGTGATTTAGTAGATTTGATTACCGATGTGTTGGCAACCCTGGTTGCTCCTATAACTAGGTATATGGAAGTCAGAGTTATGTCTTAGATTCCTGTAATTAAGATCCCCACGTGGTACCAGCCTTTTTAGTAGATAAGTAGGTGGCCTATTGATTTCTTTCGTTGTAATAAAATTAGTAAGTTATATGTGAAAAGCTGGTCAACCCTCAACCATCTAAGCTCATTGATCTTCTTAGACACATGGCTAAACTTTCGCAGACCACAAACGAACCTACAGCAGCTATTTTGAATTTTTTGTACTCGATATCTAGTCACGTAATCAAGACAAGGAAAGTAAACAGCAATTGAATAATTTATTAACGATAGAACCAGAGTCTCAGCCAGTTTTTTGCGAGTCTTGAAATTCAGAATATAGCGATTGGTGTATAATAACTTCAAACGCATGTATGTTAAGCGAGATAAATGAGTAACATGTTGTTTAAACCTCAAATCTGAATCCATGGTGACCCCTAAATACTTCGCATGGTCTACTATAGGAATATGGGTTTCGTTAAGACTAGGAACAATTGTGCCATCTAACCGTTGTACTAATTGTTTTGGGCCAAATAGCATAGTAGAACATTTTGAAGCATTGATCTTCAGACAATGTCTTTTGCAGTACTCTTGAATGTTAACTAGATCTAAATTCAATTTATATGATGCTTCATGCATGTCCAAAGAATCAAAAGACAGAGTTAGCTGTATGTCATCTGCATACGTTTGAATATTACAGTGCTGAAGGCAAGTATGTAGATCAAAAGTATAAACTAAATAGAGTAATGGTCCCAACACAGAGCCTTGAGGTACGCCAGATGCCACACTCTTTGCCGAAGAAAATCCCTTACGTGTTTTCACCTTCTGGGTACGATTGCGCAAATACGAATCGAAGAAACGTAGTGGCTTGTCAGAGAGACCATAAAATTTGAGCTTACTCAAGAGAATACCATGATGTACCATATCAAAGGCCTTAGAGAAGTTATAGGTCTTAAGTCTGAGAGACTTTTTGGATTTTTACATTTAGGCAAGGGCTTGACGAGAGATAGTTTCCAAGCATCAGGGAAATACCCAGCCTCCAGGCAACAGTTCAATAAATGCGTCAGTGCTAGTAGTACTCGAGGCAAGCAATGCTTCAGCATTGAGACTGTTATACCATCCGAATCTGCTGCATTCGATTTTAGCGACAGAATAATTTCTATCAACTGAATAGGTAAATATTTATCTACATTAGTTTTGAGTTTCAATGAATGTACAGCTTTCCAGAGATGCTTGTTACTATTTAGTTGTTCGCTGAAGCTCAGATATGCTGCTTTCTCACGCCTAATAGTGGAAATGACATCAGTTTCTTAATTTCTGGTAAAATTCGAGACTAGCTGGACTTTTTACAATCTGATACTTTCTAAAGGCTTTATCTCTCTCAGAGATTAAAAGTTTTATGCCACCTGTAAGCCATGGAGCATGATGGTTAGTAATACGTACTGAAACAATAGGAGCATCACAAATACACAATATGATTAGAAAAAACGTAACTTTATCCTCTAAGTTACTCATGTAATATAACTGATAACTCTGATCTCCGAAACATGCATTAATAATGATTTTACAGCAGATATAGTAAATATTCCTGAGTACACTTTTTTCCATATTGATCGAGTGGGACGTGGAGGAGGAGTTGGTGTTTATTTAAGGGATTCACTGAGAGGTAAGCTGGCATTGCAAGATTTTTTATGTCCAGACGGTATGGAGCAGGTTTGTGCGGAAATAGTGTTGAATAATCTAAAAATTTTCTCTCATTTGTGTCTCGTCAGTACGATAGTACATGCTTACTGGGTGATATAAACGTTGATCAACTTACTGACCATTTTTGTCTAGACTACATAACGTGTTACGATATGGTATCTCACATCGCCCAACCAACTAGGATAACTTTATCCACGGCAACCTCCATAGATATCCCATGGGATGATATACAGGGTGGCCAAACACGTGACGTCATAAAAAAAATTAGATTCTCCACATCGAGAGGAACCCAAATCACCCCCATATATATGGTCCGATTTTGTTTAGTTTAGGAGTTATGATTTTTTTTCGGATTTTTCGAGAATTTTTGAGTTCTGTGTTTATTTTTACCATAACTTCGTTAATAATTGTGATAAATGCCTGCTTTTTTCACGATTATGTAGCTAAGACCTAAGGCTTAACTATCATATAATCATTCAAGTCATGTAACTAATACTACTTTTTAATTTTTTTCAAAATCTTCGAACATAACAAAAAAGTAAAAAAGTGCAACAACTTTGAACGTTTATAAAAAATTGAAAAAACATGTTCTTACTATTCGTAAGTATCTTAAAAACTTCCTTACGGTATCAGCTATTTACCGTAAAAATTTCATCAACCTAGCTTTACTACATGCTACCGTAATTGTGGCTCAAATAGAACCGAACCCAAAATTGGATAACCCTCTGCTCAATAGAAATTGTTAGTTTCGGAAAAAAAATTTGCAAAAACCACAAAAACACGTTTGATTTTTACTGAACAGCAGATTATTATTCATTTATGTTATTTACAAGAGGTTTTCAAAATGTCTGCCTCTAACAGAAATGCACAGTGTACACCTACGTATGAAATTTTGTTTTAAATCTCTAAATGCTTGTGTGTTGTTTTTCAACACATGTGTCGCTTCTTGAATTTTGTTCCTCAA